GGCCTGCCCCTCTCAGACTGGTGAATCCAAAAGTCTTGAAGCATGGATCCAAGAATGTAGCGACTGCCAGTGAACTCGCTTTTTCCTTATCTTGCATTCTGTCTCCCAAGCATCTGCAGCTCCATCTATCTACATATGTATATCTAGCTAGATAATTTATCTATTTTTCTCTCTCTTTCTCTAGATATATGTGTGTGTTTGTATATACAGTATGTATGTATTATATCAAAGTATATCTTATCTATATGTGCAATATATATATAAATATATATCTTATCTATATATGTAATATATCTATATATTTATATCTTATCTACGTTATATCTGACTATATGTAACTGTCTATCTTGTGTTATCTAACTATGTAACTAATTTATCTATTTCTCTCTGTAACTTAGTATCTATTGTTCTATCTATTTACAGTGATTCTCCACTAAATACACAATCTGCTACAACATTACAAACTCTCAAAGCAGTTAACGCAACAACAGCAAAAAACCCGACTGCAAGTGCTTCAAACGTCACTAGTCACATGACCAAACCACGCCTCGGTACATTGGTTCGATACAATTGCTTCATGAGCTACGAAGCATGTGTCGGATCCTCGGTGTTAGAGGACCATCACATAGTGGAGGTCAGGGTGAGGCCTTCACAGGTTGTCACAGTGATGAGTCGCATGCTGACATTTGGTACATGTTAAGTTAAAAAAAAATGAGAGCACTTAATGCCTTTAGTAACTCTAAAAGAATTTATCTGTCTTTATCAGCAGGTTCCACTTGTTCAGCAGATTCACTTAGAGCTCGTCCATTTCCTCTGATGGGGGGTGAATTGACAAGAAACGGCTGACAAGGGACTGCAAGGCGGCATCCCGCGTCAGGCCGATGCTGCTTAGAGCCTCTCATGTACTGGACTTGGTTAATGGAGAGCTGCTGGCGATACTCTAGGGACAAGTGTCCATGGGAAATAGTTGAATGAATGCTATTAGTGCACTGATCTCATCACTGGTGATAGTGGTCAGCCTGTTTGGAAGAAGGAAATCAGGAAACACGTGAAGCGGGCTACTGATCCACTCGTCATAATCCACTGCAGAACAGCCTCTCTCTAAATTAATAAAAGAAAAGATGCACATGAAGCAGGCTGAGAAAGGGACTGGAGGCGATGGTGGGGGGAGGGGGGTGTGGGGGATGTGGGTGGGGTTGGGGGGGGGGCATTTGTTTGTTATATTGTCTAATTCTGACGGCATCACACACCAACACCATCTGCCACCACTCACATTTGGTGTCAGCTGCCTGGACTACACAGCCGGGTACTGACTAATACAGGGGGGTGGGGAAGGCTGGGTTCGTTGGGTGGAGGATTAGCACACCTCCCGCATCCTTGTGGTCCGCACAGAGCGCACGGGGGTCTGTGTTTTAAGCCGCAGCAGAGGTGGAGGGGGCATATTTCTGATTTCCCGAGCAGCATCAGCAGCAGTCTGATGGTTCGTTGCGCTCAGAGAGGAGCGGGGAGGATGCAGAGGAGGGAGAGACGGAGAGAAACCCGGTGATATGGTGACACATGGCTGTCTGGACCGCCTGCACGCTGTGACTGTGGCTGCAGCTTTCCGTGCACCGGGAAACGGGAGAGGCTGGGATGCGGAGAGACGCTGCGGGGGGCTGCCGCAACTGCCGACCAAGATCAACCAAACAAGCGAGCAAACGTAGGCTGTAGACCGCTGATCGGGTATCCTGCTGTTCTGACTTTAGGTAAGCCTTACTGTGGCTCCACCTATCCTTACCTGCAGTGTTCTAGTAGCCTGCTTGTAGAGGGAGCTTTTATTAATAAAATAACCTGTCTGTCACTAAAAGGAGATGTTGAAAATTCAGAAATGCTTTAAAATATTTTAGACTTTTTAATGTCATTAATGATATTTGGGAACTATTTGGAAAGCTTGGCCTACCCAAGGTGACTCCATAGCTAAAGTTTTATTGTCAGGTGTTAGACTTCATGTCTTAAAATGACCAATAGCCTATGCTGTTTAATTAAAATTGAATCCCCCCCCCATTTTATCTAAACATTTTCAGCAGATCAAAGCCTTTTCTTTCTTGACTTCTTAATTAAGCCTCCCATTTAGCATGAACCACAAGCCAATTGGCGTATGTGCTGATTAAGTAATAACATGAACACAAACTGACAGACAACCACGCTATTGTTGTGCTCTTTCCCCTCATTTAGACATGAATATCCCTGGAATGTAAAATATGTCCATTACAATAAAGCTGTAGAAAAGGTATTGTCTTCAAAATAAAAATAGCCCATATATAGGTTTACATGTGCATATTAGCCGAGGGCTACATGGTTATTTGGCCTTCATAAATAATATTTATAGGCTATTTTAAGTCTGAAGTTTTATTCCTAAGTTGTTTGAAATTCATATAAAACCGTTGGTTCTCTTTCTTTGTATAATGAGAAGTAGTCGTGACCATTTTCCACTCTCGTAGCCTGTTATTAAATCGTGCCACTTTGGTGTGGTTTCAAATTAAGCATTGTCATGTCTGAAGTGTCACCGCTCATTTTCGCTAGAGGCCAAGGCTACAGTGTGTCTGAGGACTTTTGTCCCTGCCGCGCCGCCGTAGAGATGGGAGAAAACATGTCAAAGCGACTGAAGCTGATCTCGGCTACAGACGCAGAGATGGAGGAGCGCTCTTTTCCAAACCCGTACCCCGACTGGGACCAAGGAGTCCTCACCTCCAACTCCGGAGCAGACGTAGGTTACAATGAGCCACTTGACGCAGAGGGAAAGGTGAGATGCTTCGCCTTTAGCAGGATTTTTAAAAATAGGCTATGTTTGACGTGCTAATCGAAACTGGAGATACAGTAGCTTAGCCCACGCTGAAGCTTGCGTAGTAGTTTTTTCTGGTCTTGTCAAACAATGAAAAATAGTATTGATACGCTAATTAGCGCGCTTGTTTTCACCCGGGTACAGCAGGGCTAAGTGACATCTGGTGTGCCGTTGCCCCAAATATTATATTTTAAATGTTATTGGTAAGCATAATTATTAGAACTTGGGTTACTTTCACCTTACATGCCTTAATGGTCAATTCGAAACATTTGGGGGTGGGGGGGCTAAGCCAGTCTTCGTTTGTTGTTGATGGTTCACATGTAAGTGACGTATATTTTCAGGGTATGGAGATACAGTATGCTTCACAACAGCAGAGTTTACTACAGCTTGGCATTGTTTATAAATGTACGGTACTCTCCTCAGGTAAGCACGGCCTTCCAGAATAAGGTCCAGAATAAGATCAAAGATCTCCTCCAGCAGATGGAGGAGGGCCTAAAGACTGCTGACCCCCATGACTTCTCCACTTACACTGGCTGGACAGGTCTGTTACCAGCACTATAAAACTGTGAAGACTTGCTGATTTGACATGTCACTGACACCAAATGGCTGAGCCACAACGTCTACTATAAATGTGCTTTCTTCACAACAGGCATTGCCTTGCTGTATCTGCAGCTGCACCGGGTGTCCAATGAGGCCTCCCACCTGCAGAGGGCGCTGGACTATGTCAAGAGGACCATGAGGATCCTGAATGGCCGCAAAGTGACATTCCTGTGTGGTGATGCAGGACCACTGGCAGTGGGCGCAGTGGTTCACCACAAACTCAACAACACTGCCGACAGCAGAGACTGTCTTTCCAGGTGCGTGGGTGGGACTGTGGATGTTGGTATGGATATAACTATTCAACGCCTTGCAGTTGATATGCACAGTGCACTGGTAGAGTATGACATTTTTGTCAGTAAAGGAATTAATTTCAGTCAGTGGCTTGAAGTAGGTATGTGATTGGAGAAGTTGCATGAGTGGGGCTGGACACACACACACATGAAAGAGCAAGTTACTTATAAGTGTATAATTTTTTTTTATGAATTTCACACAGTCTGGGATTTATCTTTGGACATTTGTACATTTCTCTGGCACAGATTTTCACATACAGACTGGTTATATACCTTACTTATGGGGTGCTGTCAAGTACCTTCAAGTTGTTGTGTGGGAAACATTAACTTAGGAACTTTTTTTTTCTTTTTTAGCTGCTGCATTCTCAGTGGTAACCTCAACCTTAAGTATGATTCTTGAAGTAACATTAGAGCCTTTGTGTGTGTCTGTCAGACTTCTACAACTGCAGCGGTCAGTGCTGAGTGTAGACTCGGAGATGCCAGATGAGCTTCTGTATGGCCGGGCCGGCTACCTTTATGCTCTGCTATACATTAACAAGGAGATAGGAGCTGACACGGTGGATGAGGGCACCATCACAAAGGTGCGACACACTGGCGTATGCATTTTTCTCTCCACATTTTTACACTGACGTAACACGTTAACTTACTACTATTTTGAACCATGAAAATACTGTATATTTGGCCTTCACCTTCCATCTGAGACACACGTCTCAGTTATGTTGCATTTTGTCAGGTCAAATACTGAGTTAACTGCAAAATCATCCGTAATTATGACTTGGCTCCAATTCTTATTAAATGGGACACTAAGTGAAATGCTTTTTTGATTGACAGGCCATTAATTGATCATCTTATTTTTTTTGTTTTCATTGAAAACAATACTGTAAGTCTAACACTGTGCCAACATGTGCATGCACATCACATATACAGTACATGTATAGAGACACAAAATTCCCAAGTGTTCATTTGAGCCAGAACCATTTCGGACTGGTGATGTATTTGTGGGTTTAAAAAATGTTATCAATGACATTGAAAACGTAACTTAAGCAACAATTGCTGATAAGTATTCCCTGAATGAGGTTATTAAAGATCTAAGTGCTAAATGGAAAATCTTGCCCTGCTTCTAAATATACTCCAGTATGTCTTTGGCACTTCTGTACTATGTATTCTCCTCGGTTATGTATCGGTATCATTATCTGCAGATGTCTGATTTATTGTTCCAGCTATAGTTTAAGTCCACTAGTGTAATTTCATAGGCAGAGCTGTCTAATTTGAACTTTCTTGGAGAACACCACAAAAATATGTTTTCTAGCTCTATTTTACTGTTACAGCCTTGCACATTATTTTCAGTCTGATAAATAATGTCGAGGAGGTGAAGCTGCTTTAAAAGGCTCTTCAGTGGCAGAAATCTTTTTTCTCTGTGCTGCTATAGACATCGCTCTCACTGAATAGGGACAAAAGCAGACTAGCACCAAGGCACAGAGGATTCTAACAGAGTGGATAAAAAATCCTTCACACTGTTTTGATTATTTGCTAAAGCACACACACACACACACACACACACACAAACACACCAGATGTCAGGTTTGGTAAAGTGCCAGGCCAGAACACACTGCAGTGCACACACATCCAATGAGAGAGTAGGCAGCAGCAGTGGGGTCAGAGACACTACTTCTGCCTTCACAAGTGTTAGAGAAAAATCTATTATGACTGATCAAGGAAGAAAAATGTTGAAGCTTCAAAGCTCCTCTTTCCTGCAGCACTGCAGTGCTGTTCATTTCGCCATCAGTTGTGCTCATGTACCTGTCACCAGCACACAGCCTGTTTTGGCTCTGCTGACTTTACCAAGCTCTGGGGGAATATAGAATTCTTTGTGGGTTTGTCACTGTGAGAGATGCCTTTCAAAAAAAAATTGGACAAATGCACAGACTGGAATGATAATTTTGTAGAAGCACATCTGCATGAGTATATAGGCATCTGAACAAATAACTAAATGTACATAAATAAAAGATGTACTGTGCCAGCTTTGTTTATATAAACAAAATATAGGTGAAAGTTGTAACCGTTTTATGCCTCCTTGCCAGCAACAGCTGTAGCGTCTTGTCAGGCTGGCTATCCATCTAGCTCATTCTCATGAACATGATATCTCAGGCATGTCTTAGGGGAATTTCTACTTGGATTTAAGGATGAACTGATTCACATTTTGGTGGTCAAAGGACAAGGTCACTGCATCCTCGCCCATCCCAGTGACCTTGACTGGTTAGCAGAGGCATACAACTGTGAGGCAGTAATTTTAGTTTGTTTTTTATTTAGCCTGAACACCTTCACACACTGCATTAATCCTGCATGTCTGTTTGGAAATTTTCTTCATGACTGTGAATAATTAGGAAATTAAATGCTACAAAGTGAGATGTATTTCTGAAACACAAAGCCTCCTGGTACTCTGTCATGAAAAATCCTGCAATTTGAGTCGTGCTTCATTATATATTCAGACAAAATACAGATCTCAATAAAACATTGTCAAGATTAGTGCAGGGCACATTCAGTTGCCAGAAATCAAAGGACTAACTCTTAGCTAATGTCTTGTCAGGGAAAATTCAGACTTGTGTTTCCTTTGCAAATGTTTCTTCTTCTCCAACATTCAGGTGGTGACAGCCATCATCGAATCAGGGAAGAACATGTCAGCGGAACAGAAGAAGATGGATCGCTGTCCTCTGCTCTATGAATGGCACAAGAAGCAGTACATTGGAGCTGCCCATGGCATGGCTGGCATCTATTATATGCTTATGCAGGTAAGGGAAGGCAAGAGGCCGACTGGCTCAGCTGGTTGGTAGAAGGATGGTTGAGGTACTTACCTCAGCAAACCTCCTAGTTTCTCTTCTTTTATTTTACAGCTTCAGTGGGAACAGTCAACTAAGCTGGTGCCAGCTGTAACTTGTGCACACTCTCTGCATACTGCTGTGATTGAAGACATTGCTCCACTGTTACCGTTTTTGTTACCGTCTCAATAAATAGACCAACATATTGGCTGTCATAATAGGCCTACTAGTTGTTTGTCAAAATTAGGACCACAGTTCCCACAGACCTAATGATCAGCCAGAGGTTGGATCCTTATGGCAAAGGTATGGTATTGATGCTTAGGCATTATCCACATACACATTTTCATTGACTCCCTGCTAGAGTCTGGATTGGGCTGCATATTTCTGTCCAAACTAGACCCATGCCCAAGAGTGTGCCATCCGAACCTGTCCCGAGTCCAATGCAGTTGAATTGTACAGTGTTTTTCCTTTATCATTAAACAAAGCAGACATTTGAGTGCTCCAGGCATCTAGTATGACTTACGTTTGCAAACTTGACCTGAACATAATTTCAAAATTTCTTTCCGATCCCAGCCCAGGCCCTAGGGTATCAGCAGATCCCGCCAGCATCTATTTGTGTATCCACACACTACTCACTACAACTCAAATGTTTTTTCTTCCTACCCCACGGTCGTCTATGGTTACATGGTATAGATAATGGATGGATGGACATTAGTCTTTATGGGACATTATTGTACCATTGTTGGAGCATTGCATATGGATCCCTTGTAGTAGCCTAACTGAGTGCTAACAGGCAGCCTACTGCTAAAGACCTATGACCTAATCTCCTAATTCTGTTACTAGGTTACGTTTTGTATCAACTGAGAAGATGGAGAGACTGACTTATTGTCAAACTCTCAGCCAGACTGTAAATACTGTACATTTACACATTTGGCTTTGTACATTTATATAATAACACTGACAGCATGACAACATGTAATAGCAATGACTTTGGTAGTAGTAGCCACCAGTTACAAGCTAATACTATACAAAAACAAGGCTGTATCCACGCTTAGCATTCTGAGACATCTGCCAGTCGATGACAGCAGCCTCCTGGTCTGAATGAGGCTCAGACATATCTAGCTGAATTTCGCCAATATTCCCTTCTGCTATTGTATCCTGATACTATAAGAATGAAATCAAACTACAAAATGAAAACTTAAACATTAGGAAATTAAATTAAGCTTGATTTCTGTCTGTCTTCAGCCAGGAGCGAAGGTCCAGCCAGACATGCTGTCAGAGGTGGTTCGTCCCAGCATCGACTATGTCCGCCACAAGAGGTTTCGTTCAGGGAACTTCCCATCATCTCTGAGCAACGAGAGTGACCGGCTGGTTCACTGGTGCCACGGAGCGCCTGGTGTTATCCATATGCTTCTTATGGCTCATAAGGTAAGATTAGTTTATACTCCATATTGTGTAATGGAATCTGAACTGACCAGATGTAAGTGGTTCTGTTTTCATTCTGGTGCAAAGCTGCCATAGCTTCAAACACAGTCTTTATGCGGTTTTCTATGGGCAAATTTATTTATTTATTTAGGCTCCTTGTTTTGTATTTTTACCTTGCCCATTATGCACCAACGGCAGTGGTCACCAAATTTGCTGGATGCACCCATATGTGCCTTTGCCTGCCGTTTAGACTTGAATTTGCCTCTGCCCCATTTCCAACACATGAACCTTGTGGCATGGCTCTGCACTGCATAGACATTATATTGTGTTGCATGCATGTTCAAAGTGAAAAGTGTAACAGCAGCTGTAAAATTGGTTACAATAGATATTAAGCACACATTACCATGTCACTGACAAAATTGTAAGCAGTTTATGACACACTAGGATGTGAATACTCCCTTCCTGGAGCCTGTCTGTGTGCACACACTCTGCAGGAATGTATTTTACACAAATATAGTTTTTTTTTTCCCCCTTGGCAATTAGGGAGCCCCTTGGCAGCTAATGTACTGCTATTCTGGCAGTCTCATTCCTCTCACTAATTCAGAGACTCTTGGGCACCACACAGCAAGCAATGTGCAGTCAGACACCATTTCTTATTGCTGTCTCGCTATGAACAGAATGCACAACAAATCTGCAGTTTATTGTTGCAGGAGGAGCATTTCAGTGACCAAGTGTAGTGATGATAATGGAGATCTGCTACTAGGGAGAGAAGTGACCAACAGGTTGAGCACATAATGGTGTCTTGCACACAAGCAAAGCATCTCTAGAAATGCAAGAAAATGTCAAAGGCTGCTCTGATTGCTATGCAAAACATAGCTTGGCATACAAGATACAGGATAAATTACCTTACCTCAGAGGTCCCATGACATATTGATGCATTTAGCCTGTCACTGAGGGGTTATTCTTATATGTGAATCAATGGACCAAATTAACTTTTTAGTTACAGTCGTTAGCGCAAGTTAACATTGGCTCAGTATTCAAAGATGTTCAGGTGTCCATTTTAAGGGAACTTTAATGGTGCTTTCAATCAGCCTAAAATAATAAAGTAACCCTAAAATAACTGTACTTTTTCTGCTTTGCTGTTGCGGCGTACTGTAATCATGGAAACCATATCAGGCACACAGTGAAGGAGCTAATTTTACTGATATCTCAGTTCAGTGAGTTCTACACCTCCTCACCAGCAGTGAACATACATAGGAGGGCTAAACACTTTATATATCAGTTTGCTGAACTTTCTATTTTAATCATATAATAGTACTCGGCATTTATGTGAATAGTGAACATGTAGCATCCGGTACAAGTTGTTAGTTTTGGATGTAGGTAGCTGCAGTGGTGGAATAATCTTATATTATTAAGGGGATAACACTATTTAAATATACATGGAAAAGAGTGAAGTATTCTTCTTCCTGAAGAGAAAAAGGAGGTTTTAAAACAGATCAGTTCTAGAGTTTTGGCATAGTGTCTGCTTATGTATGCATGTGTTTATTTCATTTACGTAATGCATGGTGTGGATTAGATTGTGTGTAATGCCACAACTGAGGTATCGTCATCACTGATTAGTACACCGAAACAGAGACAAGTGGCACATGCTCAGATCTGGGAATGTTTTGTGTTTTTTGTTTGATAAATGACTGATTATTAAAATAGAAAATATGTAATTTTCTATTTGCTAATGCATTTCTACTACAACAAAAGAGCTGTAAATAACCAAAGTAAAAGCACAGGTCTGTTTAGAAAAATGTCATTTAATGCCTGTGGACTGAAGAAGCTGAAGCTCTGTTGAAGCCTGCTTAATATCATCACATCTAATTAGACTAACCACTATGCTCACGCTACATCTCATTCATACATGTCTGACAAGTTTATAACCAGCTAATGAGATCTAGCCATGCGGGACCATTTAGTCATTTGTGTGGGATCAACTCTCATCTGGTCTCGAGGGAAGGACACAACGCACCTACCAGGCCTGTCAGGAATATGTTTTGTAAGTGATCATACCGAGCCCTGAGCCAATCTAAGCAGTGCTTCCGGCAGACCAGGCAACAGCATAATACAAGACGAAAAAGGTTACAAGAGATAAGTTTCCATGAGTGATTTGTCAACATTATGAATTTTCAGAATGCTGATGTTTGTGTAGAGGTACAGTCCAATGTGTCCAGTTTTTCTGACCACACACACGACCTGTCTAACCTGCCGCTGTTGGGAGCTACTCCCTTGTCCCAGGTTTCATTTGGCTACATCTGTGTCTTCCCAGGTGTTTAAGGAGGAGAAGTACTTAAAGGAAGCGATAGAATGTGCTGACGTGATCTGGCAGCGTGGCCTGCTAAGGAAAGGCTACGGTATCTGCCACGGCACTGCTGGCAATGGCTATGCCTTCCTGTCCCTTTACAAGGTCACCCAGGACAAGAAATACCTGTACCGTGCCTGCAAGGTAAAAATGTCAGCCTACTTAAAAACAAGCTTCTGAACACTGATTTGCTTGAATATGAATGGAACAAATGAATATTTAAAGAGTTTTGGACTGTCCTTATTTAATTTATCCTTGTATTACTACATGAAAGTAAGAGGAGCTCAAATCTGGTGCATTAAATTTAAATATTTTTGTCCCTTTTGATTTGAGACTACAATTCCCAGAGATCTCTTGGTATCATATGATCCATATTTACCGCCTGTTGATACTGATTATTTTATTATATTACACAGCCTTATGCTGGTTTACTGTTTACTTGCCCCTTGCATGGGGATATGTACATGCACATTGAGAGCCGATGTACCAGAGTCATATTCCTCGTGTGTCTGACACACCTGGCCAATAAAGCAGATTCTGATTCTGATCCATATGGTAAAATGGGAGCTAGCAAAAGCTTTTCCTATTATACATTGAATCCCGCTGGCAGCACCTCCAGCAAGCCTTTATTTGGTGGGCAGTGATATTATATTGTCCTTTTTTAACTTTATCTTCACCCACTTTGATTCTGTTTTCTCTACAGAGATGATCAGTGGCCATGATAAAATGATAAAAGGTCCTTGATGGTAACACACTAAGAAGGTGGGGCTCATTATAAATGAGCTGAATTCTGTGAACCTTTATCAGAGTTCTCATTATTTCAATTTTCTACTGGGTCTCAGCAGCTTTTGCACAAAGTGTGAAATTAATTATTTCTGTTATGAACGTAGTAGGAAGTGCATTGTATTAAACAGTAGGACTGTCCTCCATCAGGTACCAGAAACCTTAATGAAGAAAAAGTAGCAAAAGTGATTTGATTTCAGAGAGAATCATAGGGCATTGAATGTGTTGGTGGCAGTGACTTAATGAACTAATTATTTGATATATAACATTCTTTTGTTTTGTTTTTTTTCATGTTTCTTTCAGTTTGCTGAGTGGTGTTTGGGCTACGGCACCCATGGCTGTCGCATCCCAGACAGACCCTACTCTCTTTTTGAAGGTACTAAATATTTATTATTGAATTTTCCCAAAGAAGGTAGTAAACAACATGTCTAACCAGCTTTTAAACTCTGATAGCAGAGATACTAAGTCTTATTTTTTTTAATTATAAAAATAATTCTGGCTTCTTTTAGTGAATATCATTAAGAACTGTTTTCATATCCCACACAGACTCTTGCAAATAGACTGAAACGTATGCAGTATCAATAAATCAGTTGCTAGCTGACTAGCAGCATCCAGTTGTCTTTATTTAACCTGGCATACCTGCACCATTTGATGCCACAGTTTCCTCCACCACCCTAACTTTGTCCTTAAACATAAATTATACTTTATGCACCCACATAAATCTTGACCTAAATTTCTTCATGTGCCATGTTGAAATTTGACGGTTTTTTGGACATGAACATATCTGTCGCTGTGAACACTCAGTATATTGTAACCAGATGTGTTTTAGAATATACCTGGCACTAGACTTCCTAAGCTTTTGGTGTTGTTGACTCTAGGTCTTATATATCTTGTACAGCTGAATCCAAATTGAAGCTCAGTTTCTGTAAGATCTCCCTCATAAATGAGGACTGAGGTGCAGCTTCCTTGTGGAACTCCGGTATTGCAGGTGTTGTCAGTGCAGTGCAGGAAAATTTGTGAACCTGGTCTTGAATAACTAGTGGCTTCTTCAAATTGATTTACTTAATCAGGCTGAAACCTTAATAAATGTCTTAGTATAGACCTCAGTAATATGTAAATGAGTGGCTTGGGGACTTTGGTAGCACTGACCAATCAAAGCAATGAAGCTTAAGCTGTAACTACCAAAAAAACACCTATGAAGTAGTAGAGAAATATCTGATTACATGACATAATGGCCATATTTGGTTACCAGTCTGTACTAGTTTTACATTTCACTAGATGTTAGGCATTTCTGCAAAGTGTAACTCATTTTAAACAGCATTTCACTGCCCAGATGTGTCAATCATATTTTATACTTACATTCATCTTACTGTTAATGTCTCATATATGATTTGCCTTAGAGATTATTACTTGGTCTCATGCTGGGAATGAACACATACTGCAGCCTGTCTGTCCACTATAAAAAATTAAAGATGTTTTATGGCTTTTATCAATAGTGTCTCCAGTGCCTTGACAGAGTAGGGATTAACAAGCTTGACCGATGGACAGTGAAGTGTGTAGCTGGTTGTGATGGCTGTTTGCCCTCCTCAGGTATGGCGGGGGCCATCCACTACCTTTCGGAGATGGAAAAGCCTGAGGAGTCCTGTTTCCCTGCCTTTGAACTTGTACCTGTCAACTGATGGGACTGAGGATGATGAAGAGGGTGGGGGCAACCTCTTCTCCAAGCCACCTGAGTTTTTACTTGAACATTGGATAAGGATGCGTTTGTGTTACAGCTTTCAATCTTCAGATCAGGCTGGAGATGAGTAAAGTGAGAGTAATTGATCAGTGTTTGTGAAGTAAATGTATGGTTTGGTTTTTGAAATGTAAGAAATAGCCAAAAAGATGAAGGAAGTATTATTTTTGGTCCTAATATTGCTGGTTCTCTTCCTGAGGAGGGTCACTTTGTGTCGTCCTCCTCCAATGTAAGGTGTTAGATTTAAGACGAGGACCCATACCCCTGCCTCACTCATTACAATGTATTGCCAGCTGGACACACCCTAATTCTCCAGCCTTTAATATTGTAGCATCCCGGCCAAGAAAGAGTGCGTGTGTGCGTGCGTGCGTGTGAGAGAAGTCAACCGAAGCCAATTTTGGCAAATCTACGCCACTGCATGCTCACTGTAACTGGCTCGTGGTGCCTCATAATTGATTAATGTAGTGATTTCCTCTGCTTGCATTTATAGGTGTGCTGTTGCAGTTCTCCAGGTATTTGTCACATAGTGGAAAAAAGGTCTCTCTCTCCCCTGTCGTTCATTTCATTAAGAAGTCTAAACTAGTTCCTTACTGCTTTTGTGAAAATGGCTAATATATCAGTTAAGTCAAATTTAAATTTGTTTTCTTTTTAATCTTTGTTAGAAATGGTAATACTGTATAGCTTTTTTCAGCAAGTCTACTGTATGTCCAGTGGTAGCTATCAATCTACTCTCTATTCCGTTAATGCTGACAGGACCTATAGTGCTGTTAAGTTCATATCTCACTTGTAAAGTGGACAAATGAAACTGTACAGTGCTTCTTTCCCAAAGCCACAATCTAGGTAGCTAGTTATCTGCTGTAGATAGCTTGGTTAAGTTGCTTACCATTTCAAACAGTGTAAGTCACCAACTTTTTTTTTTTTTTTTTTTTTACCAGTGCTTAATGACTTGAAATAAAAGTTAGAGTACTGTGCTAAAAAGATTTTTTTCTTAAGCATTGGTTATTTAGCTTTGTTTTGTATTGAGAGAATGACTGCTGAGACCATTAGCTTGCACTACACACTGGCTTTTAGTTGGGTATCAAAACATAAATCAGTATCTCCCCACATGGATTTGGGTACAATATACTATGGTACCTGTTGGTGGAACAAAAAAGGCTTCTTAAAATGTGGCCACTTTTGTCAGCTAAAGTTCACTGCATCGTGTTGATGCTGGCCTTGAACCTTCCCCACTACACCATGTGTAAATCCTGTTTTATCTTCTAACTGTCCCTCAGTTTTAGTTCCTCAGTTCACCTGTGACCTACTACTGCATTAATGTACAAAAAGGGCGTAAATTCAGACAAACTGCTGTGCACTTTATTGTATTTCTGAACAGATACGGAACTGAACGTGGAGGTGGCGCAGCATAAATGCCTAGGTGTATGTATTTGTGGCTTAGATTAGCTGGTGCAAACCTGATACCTGAGGAGAGAGAGAGAGAGAGAACTGTTTGAACAGTTACACCCCCAACGCTACTGTTTTATCTACCATCTATAAACAAGACCATATAGGTTCAGGCACCATCTGAGTTCAGTATCCTGTTAGAGCTAAGCTTAAAAAAAGGTTTGAATACTAGTAGTCAGTCCACTTGCTGAATACATAAATGCATTAAAACATTTCCTGTTGATGGCAGTTTGTAAAAAAGGTTATCGGAGACAACTGCAGCTAAAACATTTCTGGCATGTGTGCAGTTGCTTTGCAGTGAGAAAGTTGAATTGACGTATATATCAATATATTAATGTTTTAACAAAACATACTCCAATTTTAGCATGCATGTTAAAATTGGAATTGGTGCACTCGCTTTTAAATGTTTTCAAAGCAATACAAAATTAAAGTTGACTATTAAATAACTGAGGTTATTACTTTTACAGTGCTTTTTTTTTTTTTTTTTTTAATTATACTGCTCTGAGGCAGTTGACTCAGTTTAGTCCAATCAGCGCTCATGTCAGTTTTAGGCAAAGCTATAATACAACCCTGAGTTTAAATGGTAGCCATGGTTTGTGTTTCAATATGGACCTGAAATAGTACCTGTTCAGTAAGTATCTAAAAATTCCGACAGCACACGAATGCACATAAATGCCTTTTCCCCGAAAGTCTTGTTATGATTGTCACTGCATGAGGAGAATGTCATCATGTAAAACTGTGTGTTGTTCTGTTCGTGCAAGTCCAGACTCACTGGTCCTTTTTATTGTGTTTGGTACTGGTTTGTATCTTGGTCACAGCAGCAAGGACTCTGGCCATTAGTGGAGACATGTTCAGTGTTTCACCTTGATCCCTGTCTGTGCATTTGATTTTCCCCTCAGCCCAGTTGGTGTCAAGATATGAATGTATGTCTTCATTTTTCTTCATTAAACTCCTGTGCTTCAGTGACAGCGCAGTACGTCGTAATTGTTCTTCTTATTGTGCAAGGTGTGGCATTGTTGAAAGTAATAAAATAAAAAACAAACAAAATTCCAGTTTTATTTTATAGAAATGTGGTTTATTTCTTGATTTTGATAGCTGTGCAACATTTTTGAACACAGGAAATGTTTTTTGGAGGTATTTTGTTGAGAAATTATCCACCATCAGACCCATTCATGTCTGTGTTGCAAAAACGTATCTGCGCTGCACCGAGCTGAGCGCAGCGCAAGGTTGTGCTGTCTCTGCGCGCTGCACTGAAGTGGAAAAAGAATGTTAAGTTGGGCACAGCACTCTGTGAGGACACCTTGAAAAATAAGGATAGAACATCGAACTGACAAGGTGTCAGAAGTTATTTTAACAAAATATCTCAGCTAAAAATAAGTATTGTGAGGTGTGACTTGCAGAGCACAACTGCAAATCTACATGAATTGTGCAATGCTTTATTGTATTGTAACAGTATCTGTTAAGTCTGCTCTTAACAGATGGCTGGTGCTCGGATAACAGCATAGTGTTCAAAAGATGAGAAAATGAAAGGGCCACATTTGGGCAGTTGATGTGAGCTCTTTTAATTTGAGGAAATCTTTCAAGAGAATTGAAAAGTAGGTCACTTAGTTTTTTATAAGTGCTAAAACATTTCTTGAAACCATCACTCATTTTCTCAAAACCATAAACACAAATCCAATTACAAACTAAATTCACAAAGCCCATACACTTTTGGCAAAATCAAATAATTGCTTCAAAGGTGTGCCTCACAGCCTTTCCACAGTGGAGCCTGACTGGACGGACCCACACACTGGGGGGCAGTGAGGCAAGCCTCACAGCCTCCTCAGCTGGCCCTTACTGGACCGGTGCATAACCGGACCGTAGCCCACAAGCTGTGGGGCCGTGAGGCACGGCTCACTGCCTTTCCACAGCGGAGACTGACCGGACAGGCCCACATGCTGGGGGCTCGCCTCAGCGGGGCCTGACTGGTCGGCGGGGCCTTGGCCAAAAAAGTTGTGTGGCCGTGAGGTGCGCCTCACAGCCTTTCCACAGTGGAGCCTGACTGGGCCCCATTCTGAGGAGCGGTGAGGCGAGCCTCACAGCCTTTCCACAGCGGAGACTGACCGGACAGGCCCACATGCTGGGGGCTCGCCTCAGCGGGGCCTGACTGGTCGGCGGGGCCTTGGCCAAAAAGTTGTGTGGCCGTGAGGTGCGCCTCACAGCCTTTCCACAGCGGAGCCTGACCAGCCCCCAGTCTGAGGAGCAGTGAGGCGAGCCTCCCAGCCTTTCCACAGTGGAGCCTGACTGGGCCCCATTCTGAGGAGTGGTGAGGTGAGCCTCACTGCCTCCTCAGCTGGCCCTTACCGGACCGGTGCATGACCGGACCAACGCCCGTGCGATGTGGGGCCATGAGGCACACCTCACTGCCTTTCCACAGCAGAGCCTGACCAGCCCCCAGTCGTGAGGAGCGGTGAGGCGAGCCTCACAGCCTCCTCAGCTGGCCCTTACCAGACCGGTGCATAACCGGACCGTAGCCTATGCGCTGTGGGGCCATGAGGCGAAGCAATAAAAATACAACAGGAACACATTATAATGCAATTATGCATGTAAACGGTACAGATGGAATTACATGAGGTAGATCCTGAGTCAGCTGTTTAGGAGTCTGAAAGAGTTTATTCAAAAATAAAATGTTGATACAGTTTAATATACTATAACATCTACTTCAAAATATTAAAAACCCATTATTTACCAAAAACAATTATGCTTAACATTTTGCATGAATCTACAGTATTGATCAGATCAGTGTGTGTTTATTTCATGCTGATCATGTTGGTGGATTATTCTAATGGTTGTTCAGTTTCTCAACTTAGATTTTCACTCTGATGTGATGTATTATGGGCACTGTTTAAAAATATGGTCATGGCCCTCATTTACATTGAAAGCGTCTTCCTTTTCCTCTGCTGTCTGCAAAAATATCCCATTCTAAATAAATTACAATGCAAGCACTGGGGGACGAAAGACACGGTCTCTGTTGTGCGAAAGACACTCTGCTCTGCTTCATCACCACCCTGCAGGTCGATGCACAGTCTACTACTTACCGTATGTACAATTTCTGTTTCTCTTCAGTACCATCCAACTCGACCAGTCCAGGAGTGAGTCCCAGTGTCCGCAGCCCGGTCCTCTTCTCATCATCTCCACCACTGACTGTGTTCCCATCCGAAGCTCGACACCCGGTCCCAGTGTTACTCGACTGTTCATTTCTTGGTCACTTGTTTTACACTGTATATAAACTTGCACTGCTTGCATCGAAGTCAGCCACCTGGGTCCGTCAATTTTTGTGACTTGCTCACTTCCGTGTTCAAGCCATCCTAACACCCCCATCAGTTTCTGATCCTATGAAATGATAGTTTTATAACTCTTGAGCTTTAACTCTGGACTTGATCAAATTTATTGACAGGGTGGAAACAGTCTTGTGCACCAATCTAGTATTTTGTGAAAACAGCCACATTAAAATGGGAAATAAATGATGATGATTAAGTGTATATTGTTTCATGGCTGATTGGTAATTCCATAAGAGTTATTTGGCTCCGTCTTGTGATCAAACATTGTTAGCTGATGTACTGTACTTGCTTCTTTCTGTTTTTAACTGCAAGATCAGTGTGCATCCTGCAGATGTCAACCATGAGCTACACTTGTTTATAAATCATCAACCAATTACAATTTTCAAACTGAAGTTCAGTATAGAGGAACACAAAAGTACTACTTACTGTTATCAGTGGAGACCTTAAAATAGAGTGATCAGGTTTTCATTTTGACCTTGGGTTGGTTGTTTGTATGACAAAATGCAGGAAATTAATGTTTATCATGTGTATGTTAAACTAAAAAAACATTTAGCAGCTGACAAGCACGTCTGGGACACAGCTGGATCTGACACTGGAGCTGAGAGACAAACATAAACTTAAATATAAGTAAATAGCGTATGAAATGCAGAGTGCCTCTGCTGGCTGGAATAGACACAAGGCTCCTAATTGACAGTCTCTTTTTCATTTTAAAAAACAAACTTTGAGACCTAAAACAATTCAGAGGTTCACAATAATTTGGAAAGACAATGGATTTGAGTTAGTAGATCATTCTGACTGGTGTTTTGCACAAAACAAATCGAAAGGAAACTAGAATGAATTTGTATTAGTTTTGATGACAATGTTACTGAGCTTCATATAGTATTTAGATAACTGCTGACATGATCTAGAATATGATTTCTCAAACATAAACTGTTCAACTGTGTCAGTTTTTGCAAAGCAGTTCTTCTCTTCTGTGATTGATTTTACATTTCTGAGATATCATGCACCTTGCGAGCTGTTAACACCTGATAGATTTTGGAAACTTGTGTAGAAGATTATGGCATATAGAATATCTTGGTTTATTGTATTGTTGGAAATGGAAAAGATTTGCATGTAGTGGTGCACTTTATGTGCATGGAGGAAGAATGGATACAAGGGGTTTGTTTTAATTTTGCTGAAAAACATGTCTCAGTGCTGTATACTATTAATGTGATATTACAGGAACCCTTTGAGGCGATTTATTCAAATTACAGTAAATACATATAGTTTTTTTTTATTAAATTCCTTAAGTCTTCTACACATATTGTGAGTCTGGACAGACATGCAACTTGACTGGTTGGCAGATGCTTGCATTTTTTTCAAAATGTAGTGTGCACTTCATGACTGTTGTGGCAAAATACCACAGTTTGGCAGCTCAGTGATAGTTTATGGGTGGATCAGCATAGTAATGCCCCTTGACTGTTTCCTCTACACTATAGCTGCTGTACCAGCTTAATGCTCACAGTGTCAGGGTCAGTGCGTAAAGCTGCTGCTGATGTCACGGGGTGAACTCAATTATAGAACCAGACGAGGCTAAGTGAAACACTGTCTCTCTAATAAGACCACTGGTAACAAAACGATACAAAAAACTATACAAGCTTGAAACACACTCTCAGGTCAATAATACCGTCCAGGGTCAGAGCCAGCAAACCTTTCGAGGGATCCACAAATGAGAGGTCAGAGAGGGGAGTCCAATAGTCAATACACAGAAAAACACGCGGAGAAACATAGGGCTAGGCAAAACTCAGTGGTCAAACAGAAATCATTTTACCCATGGTGGTCATTTTAGCTGCAGTTAAGGTGAATTAAAGGAATTTTGTACATTTTATGTTTGTTTCGAAAAATGTATACTACTAAAAAGCATTTATGTGATTGAGCCTGCAGTCCACATGTCAAAGTGCCCTTGGCAGATGGCTGCCTCGGTTCTGTACCAGAAACAAATTTCTTGTGTGTAACATACTTTGCCAATAAAGGTGATTATCCTTAAAAAATAATTGTGTTGATATGTACTGTGTTTAGGAAATAAGCACATTGTGAATCTCTTACACTGTGAGGTGCCTAGTTATGCTCACCATATGACGTGGGTCCGAGTGATATGCATTTTAAGTTATTTAAAATGGGTAAAAGAAAAAAGGAAGACAGCTATGCTGTAAATTTATGTTACTGGCTGTAAACTGAAACCATATATTTCATTTCTTTTATTTAAATTAAAAAAAAAATCCAAATTTAAAAAAGGGTAATGTGTTGTCTGTAAATAAGTGATTCATTGGTAAAATGTGATCAGTTGTCAGTTGAACCATTGTACAGGGTTATTCAAAAAGAATGAACCGATTTCATTACGCAATATTAAGGAAAAGTAATACAAAACTCCAGCCAAGTCACAAGTATTCTACTCACAATCAACTTTTACTTCCTGTCTTACAAGTGTTCAATGTGGCCACCACCTGCAGCACGGGCAACATCAATGCGATAAGAGAATTCCTCCCAGGCGCGTATTACCATATCACGATTGGGGCCGGAGCCAATCCCGGCCGACAATCGGGCGAAGGCAGGGTACACCCTGGACAGGTCGCCAATCCATCGCAGGGCTAACACATAGACGAACAACCACACACAC